GCCGCTGGGGAGTGCTGAACGAAGAAGGGACCCGTCTGATTGCTGTTTTCCAGGGGTGGTCCCAGGAGACTGCAGGTAGAAGCAGGGAACCAGAGGGCTGGTCCTGGAAAGAGATGGTGGTGGTAGGCCTCAGTGCGGTCCGTGGGGAGCCGCAGGCTCAGGGCACCCTGACGTGGCACCGGTAAGATCTGCTGACAGTCAGGTGCATGTAAGCGGACAAGGATCCTGAGCAACCCCAGAGGGCCGGAGGGGGCAGTTGCTAGAGCAGAGACGCGGACAAGGTCAGGCAGGAAGACTGCAGGTCGGTTTTAAGGTGACAGAAGTGGAACGTCTGGAGCTTGGAAGGAAATCTGGGCTGCATGGTGAAATCATTTGCATATCCATGTTATTTAAAGCCAAGAGATGAGCTCAAAGGCGGGCCTGAGGGCGAGGACCGAAGGGGCCAAAGACAGAGCCCTGGGCAACACCCCGGTAGGCGGCTGGGTGGAGAGAACCAGCAGAGTAAGAAGCAGCAGTGTGGGGGGTGGGGGAGAATGTCCCGGAGGGAGTGAGCACCCCTTTCCGATGCTCCTGGTGAGAGAAAGACAAAGAACCGACTCAGAGTCAGCCGCCTGGAGGGCATCGGCGAATCGGTCAGCAGCATGGACAGCGCTTTAAAGGGGTTTTGTTGCAAAAGAGGAAAGAGATGGGGCCACAGCTGATGAAACAGGATCCGGAAAAAACCACACTCAGAAAACTAAGGGCGAGTTTGTGAATTCAGGGCGCGACCCAACGTGATGCAGAGCAGAAAGGGGACGAGCCGGAGGGGACGCAGGCGGGCGTTGGACGGGGCTGGAGCCGGGGCACCGAGCAGCGCAGCGAGCACCTTGGACGTCGGCTGTCCGCTTAGCAGACGGCGCAGGGGTCCTCGGTGACGTAGGAGGCGCGGCCGCATCTGCTGCGTGAGACCCACGAGGAGGAGGTATCAGGCCGGGAGAGAGGACTGTGAACACTGCCCAGGCTGTCGGGGGACGAGTGGGTGGTGCCAGGTGTTGGGCTGCTCCGAATCACAGGCGAATCACGGGCTCTGGCTAAACGCGGGGCTGGTAGGTCTGGGGCTGAGAATTAGTTCCCTGAGTCCAAGCGTGATGCTGCTGCTGCTGGTCTGGGGACCCCACATGGCAGGAAAACACTCTTGTTCTCCTCCTGGTTCCTCTGGTAAACCCAGAACGGCTAGTCTGGGCGTGGGGAGCCTGGAGGAGGGCGTGCGGGCACCGCGGCCCACGTGGTCCCCCACAAGGTGGACCAGTCGGTGGGCTGTGTGTTTTTTCCAGCCACGTTCAGCTTGCGTTTGAGTTTGGTTTGTCTGAATTGCTTTGTCCTGTTTGTTGGCTTTAGTTTTCGACTCTCATGTTAGCGGGTCTGCTGGTTCTGTGCTGCACAGTTGGGGACTGAAGCTGATGGGAAATTCGGGGCCGAGGGGAGGACCTGCTGGGTCTCTGCCGGGGCCTCACTGGGGTCAGTTTCTGGAGCCCATTGTTGCCTGCGAGCTGAGCCGCTGTCTCCTGCCCACAGGTGGCGGGAGGGAGGGAGCAGGGCGGCCACCTTCAGTAGATGACACTCTGACCTCCGACGAGACCTAGTGTTTTCTGGGCCAAAGACCAGGCCTCTTTCCAGAAAAGAAGCTCTGGGAACGGGTGGGGCCCGTGACCCTGCCGAGTAGCCGGGAGGCATCTGGAGGCTGACGGGTGGCTAAAACGACCTTGACCCGGACCTCCCCACATCTTGAGACACCCTGCGTGCTGCCTGTCCCGCTGCCTTGGGCCAGCTGGGTGACTCCCGGGTGGCTTCTGCTCCCCTTGCTGTGGGCTCAGGGCTCACTCTGCCCTCCTTCCCACCCCTCTTCCCGTCTGCCCAGTCACTGGTCACCCATTCACCTGCCTTTGGCTCCCCAGAGGTGTGGCCGTTTCCTGCCTCCCATCTCCACCTCCCGCTCTGTGTGAGAACACACCTGGGGGCAGGTGCTCCAGCAGACCCTGGGGAGAGCCTCGGTGCGGTCAGCTGCAGCTTCCCGCTCCTGGGTCTGAAGGCACAGGAAGGGCCCCGCACTTCTGAGCCCACGAGGGTCTTCGTCCCTGTCGTCTTCCGGGGACTCTTCCTGAGCTCTGCCACGGGCTGCCCAGCTAGTGCGATCAGCACGGACTGTGCAGAACTGACGCCTCCCCTCACTAAGCTGTCAGCGTCGCCGTCACGTGCTGACACAAGGGATCACGGGAAGGGCGGGCAACGTCTGCCGT